CACCCTTACCTCTGAAGAAGTCCATTTAACTGACGTTACTTTGTTTTTAAACACTTTTTTCAATGATGCAACACTTGTTGTCACAAAGGCATTTTTAAATTTATCACATCTATACAAAAACATGCATATCTCTCAGACATAGTAAAGCCTGAACAATCATTTAACAGTTTAAATATGGGTAATGTTAAATACTTCACAAGTTGGATTAAAACCTCTAAAAATATCCAAAACAGACAGTATTTACTCTTCAAGGTCGTTTTCTGCTGTGTACTTTCACTTTCATTTTCATTGATTTAAGCAAAAGATTTCCGAAAGGTGAAATAACACTTGACAAAAATGTGTGTAAATTTAGATATTTTTTACAAAATTTACAATCATTTTATTTTCTTAAAGTAAATAATACCTCTCCAGTTTTTTTATATGTTCTCCATAAATGTATAAGGTGAAATTCAGAGCATCAGAATATTCCACCAGTGCTTGCGTTTTTTGTGTACATTGTTATGTTCAACCCCCACTTTTATAAAGCAATTTTTTATGTTTCTTAGCATTTAACGACAGGTCCAAATAATTTTTTTCAACTTTTTTGTATAGAAAATACAAATAACAAATTATTTCAAAGGAAAAATAATAATAATCACCTTTATTTAATCAAATGTACATTAATGGGAAGAAATATCATTTTAGGTATTTACCACCTATGTGCAAAAACAGGTAACCTGGTTGCCATGGAAAAAAGACCAATTGATCACTTTTAATAATATTTTTGTAAATCGGGCTTATAATTTAATTATTTCACCAAGTTTCAGCCAAATCCGTGAGAATCAATTTCCAGCCCATTTTGATGCTTACAGAGAATGACTCTTAAATACTTATCCATGACCTTCATAAATGTTGTAGCTAGGAATGCGTTTTCTCTGTTTTTCGGAAACAAAAAGCGCTTTTCAACTGAAGAAAAAATGAAAAAAAAATTTGAATATACGTATTTTCATTAAATTTACCTTTCTCTGACATTCTAAATGACCTCATCTAGAATCAAAACGCATTTGATAGGAATGACGATAAACAGATAGTTCTAAATTATTATTTTTTATTTGGAAGTATTGCACTTTCTAAGAAGAATCCAATCAAGAAGTCAAAAAAATGCCTGATATCATATGGATAATAGAAATGCTTATATAATAGTTTGTGGGCTGAACTTGCAACCGACTCACGTACATTGTACTTTGATGAATGTTTCTATCTTTATTAAAACATGATTGTGACATAAACCCTTTGTTTGTGTTATCCATTCTATAGCTTAGTGTTGAACTTACTCCCCTTACAATCCATTATGTCACATGTAAGTGTCCACTCTTTTTGGGAAACTGTCAATTTTTTAAGAGAATGGACAGTTTTTCAAAAAAAGAATGGACAGTTAAAACAAACAGAATGGAGAGTTACAGGTAAACTTTGGCATGTGCAAAAGAGGGAAAAAAAAACAAAATTTAATACAATTTAATGTACATGTATATAACAAAAAGAACTTAAGTTAATCCAGAACACGATGTCTGCATCGGATCTGTTCGATTTTACACGTTTAAATCCATGAATAATACACATTTTTTGCAATGCTCAAAAATCTTTTTTTTCTCAAAACTTGAATTTAATGGCACAATTTCACATTTGATTAAGAGTTTGGAAGCATCTTTCCCTTGAGAAGAATGCATTTTGAGCTTGAAGTTGGCTAATATTAAATCCAATCACCTAGAAAAAGTTTGCACGATGAAAACTTCACTGCTGTAGTGAATAATTTGTTAGAAAATGATTAATATTGAAACATTTCCAGAATGATTTGAATTACATTTTCAGGTCAACGTTTGGCTCATGGCTATCCAACACTCAGAACACAATTTGCCTTTCATTATTATACTTCTGCAATTAATATATATCCTCAAAAACTGAATTCAAATTAAAAAAAAAAACATATCCGGTGTGAAATAACTGTACATGTATTTGTCGTTAAAGACATTTTGAGAAGATCAAAGTTTGGAGAATATTTTCTTTACGCTAACTATTCTCTGTTTCCAGATAAAAATATCACTGGTTTTGTGCATTAATTGGTTTCTAATCGATTTCGATTCTTTCATATTTTCTCTCTAGCGGAGGAAGAGATGTTTGACTTTACAACGCAAAATATAAACTGATTTAAAGGAGTTGCATTCCCATATAAATAAGATACTAGCATCATCCCGAAATCCACCTGTAACTGACCATTCTTTAGACAAAAACCTTTTGTTATTCGTATCGGGAAACACAATGTCTATTCAACAAATCCCTGTGACCCCAAGCTTACTTGTAACTGTCTATTCTGTAAACAATTAACTTTTTGTATGTGTACTACCTGTTTTACACATCTAAAAAAATTTTCAGAACAAAGAGAGTCATGTTTTAAGTAGGAGAAAGACTTCAAACTGTTCACGGCCCTTGATTAGTTCTTTCTCTCACAGAATGGACAGTTTTTGGCCTTTCTCCTTTACTTAAACGTACTATTTTATCTCTACATTAAACTATAAAACATACAGTTTGAAAAAGGATTATAAAGTTAGAAATTTTATCAACTCCTTTCACAACTAAGTCAGAAACGTACTGACATTCCCAAATTTTACTGACAAACTCAGAAAATTACTGAAAATGAACTGTCGTTACTGTAAAACTTACACAATTACTGACCTTTTTACTGCCGGTACTGATAAACTTAGAAAAATGCTGACAATCTTAGTCGGTGCTGAAAAACTTAGACAATTACTAACCCGTTTACTGTCCCTGCTGAAAAACTTAGACAAGTGCTGACATTTACTGATAATAACTGTCCCTATTGTTCTCGCTCTTGGGGAGGCTGCAGAGGTGTGAAATTGATTTTTTTTTAATTCTAACATAGATTATTATTTCATTTATTAGTTTTTTTTTTAAATAATTTTTAACAATGTTCAGATGATATCTTTGCAAAAGAAAAAGCTTCTTTGACACCCCTACTAATGTTATTGTTATTTAAATTTACATCACGTGGTTTCTCTTGAACTAGTCAAAGGTCATTAGGCTCGCAGTAAAGGAGAACGTTCACACCTTTAGTCTGTTTTCTATATATAACCCAGATACTGACAAAACAGTTACGAGCAATTCCTTTATTATACAGTTATAGATACACATGTTAACAATATTTCTGTTATCATGGTTCAGGAACATTTAATACTTAGGGTTCCATATCCAATAAATCCATCCGGGCACGGAAAGGGGGGGGGGGGCGGGAGTTATTTAGATATCAGAGCTAGTGCTATAAGTATATATTAAATTCATATTAAATGATACAAAAATATTTTTAATGAATACTGAATTACATGCAATCTAAATGACTCAGAAACTCAGAACCTGGATCCCTAAACATGTCAAGTTATTTAGACATGCAGGAAATTAAAGCTCCTCCCCCCGAAACAAACACAATTTCTTTTTTTTTTCCCCAACTTCTTTTTATTTGGAAAGGAGGGATGAGACCCATCCATCCTGCTTCTCAATATTTTTTCTCCCATTTTCATACTTCTTTATTTTCAACCCTATCTCTAAGGTTTAATAAATTTTCCAGAGCACTTAGGATATTTTTATTGAAGGCATGGATGGTTCCAGGAATTCTTTGTCCATATGAGTGGTGGGGGTGAGGTTGTTACATACCAACACCCTTAGTCAGCAATCTAATTAAAATTAGATGTTAGATCCGCTCGCATACTCGCCAACATCTAACAACATCCCACTGAGGGTCATGCCAGAGGTCAAATTCGGAACGCCTCAAGACTTATTCGCCAACAATATATAATGATTTTGCCAGCGGCGATTTGATTGGTTGATAGAATTTGACCTCTGTCGTGACCCTCAATAGGATGTTGTTAGATGTTAGTGTAGCGAGTATGCCAGAGGATCTAACATCTAATTTTAATTAGATTGCTTAGTAAGAATCATAAAACCATAAAAATGGGGGGGGGGGTGTAAAAAAAATGTTTGAAAACACACACAATCTAATTTCCTAGTCATACCTAAAATGATTTGGCAAACTTCAAAGCCTTATTACCGTTTTAAATCTAGCTGACTGTTACATGTAGGTGTCACATGATCATGATCTTACACATACTTAGTATATCCCTGTCCCTAATGTCCAGTTGGGCTAAAATGTTCACATTTCTTCACATTGTGCCTTTTTCATAGACCCAAAAGCATTTAAATAAATATCTGGAATATATAAATGCACATGAAAGCTCTTTTTACACCCAGTTCCTTTTAACTGAGATCATACTTGAGAAAAGATCCAACAAGATGTTTTCTAAATATATGTTTTACCATATAAAATATATTATTTCTGTATTTTAATCTCACTCTGTGAAATATTTTGAACCCCTAGCTGTATTAGCCAAACACTTCTGGCCACAGCTCTAATAAACAAGGTTCAATATATAATCATATCATGATATAAAAATACTTTTTAATATTAGCACAGTTTATTTCAATATCATTAATACTTGTAAGAAAAGCAGATACTGGACACAATGAGGACATTTCTAAAACATATAAAATAAATTTATCTCTTTGCTTTTTGTAAAACAGTCATGCATATATCATTCAGATTTTTTTTACATTGTGAACAAGGGAAATAACTCTTTGGGAAGATCAATTACTTTTACAGATATACATGTACATGATTGTATATATTTTTTAAAATAGCCATTTCATTTGTGATATATATAGATGTACATGTATTAAAGACATTTACTCTGCTTGAGTTAAAATCAGCAGAGTTCAAAACAAGACCTTTCCCATGGTCCAAAATTAAATTTATTACATTTGTACATAGAATGCACTACAAATCTAAGGTTAATTTAAGGGAGATAGTTCAATAAAAAGCAATATGAGCTGCAATTCAAACTTCATAAAAACTTTAAATGTGAAATTAAAACATTTTTGGTGTAAAATTGTGGTTCATTACTACAGTATTTCAATGGCAGTAAAATAAAGGATTATAAACTTCTATTATTCATACATGTATTTACATTAGAAAGTCTTTTTAGGAAATTCTGATTGAAAAAAAATTACATCTTTTATCCTTCAAAAAATATTGATTCCTACATAATATCGTTACATTATATATCAAGCTTTATACAGTTTTAAAACAAACCATTATACTTATATACAACAAAATACTTAGTATTCATTGTCAACCAAATTGGATCAGTATCATTTCAACCAGAGAATGAAATCATTCAAAATTGATCACCATTATTCTGGGCTCATTACATTTGCTTCTGCGAGCATCTGTTTCATTCAGCAACTGTTCTTTATTTTCCGTGTAAAAAATACAAGGTCTCAACTCCAATCTTAAGGCAGTGCTGATATGCTGTCATCTTTTATAAATGCATGATCTGGATTTGAAAAAAAATCAAACATCAATTCAAAGATTATACATGTACATACTGCAGATTCCTTATTTTTTGTGAGTACTTATTATTGCAAAATAGCTCTTAAAAACATCAAATCGCAAGAATATATATTTGTGAATGGGCGGATAATAAGGAGAATGTGCATGGGTTTCAGTACCATAAAAATAAAAGTGAAACATTTTATTTCGCAAGTGATGCTACATGCAAAATTGCAATAATAAATTCCTTGCGTTTAATAAGGAATTTACAGCATATCACATCAGTCTGTTATTGTATACATAAAATTTAGTAATTTTTAAAATAATCGCACAATAAATTGTGTAAAATGTACTCAGATTTATAATTGACTATAAGCCTATATGGACCATGATGCTCCTCTGAGACATGTCAATTGAAAGTAAAATACAAACATATTTTCCTTAAACATGTTAAAAATGATATTCGATCTACACATGAAAAGCGTGACTAATCCCTAGGTGAGGGTCATTCAAAAAGAAGTCACAATATTAAGTCAGATTATATTTCTGTGTAAAAAAAATATCCAGCCAGTGTCAAATCAGTAAATAGGGGTGGATACATGAATATTTTGTGAATTAATTTGTGCCATTTCTTGTCACCAATTCCAGATTTTAATTCAAAAACACTCATTTGTCCACTCCTTTAAATGTGCAGATCTGAATCTGCAAAAAGACTGCAAATTAAGTTTTGCATGACTATGAGATTGACCATTCTCCTGAAAATATTTGCTTTCAATTGGTTTGGGACAAACATGAATGTACCTAACAAGAATCAGTTTTCAAAAGTACAATGTACATGTATTTGTAAGTTCTGGATATTTGGAGGAGTTGTTCAAATTTGTTAATAGTAATATCAAATGCATCATTCAGATTCATTCTTGAAGAAAATTGCTGATCTCAATCAAAACCTAAATCTTCTTTGAAACTAGAAAACTGACCAGTCAGCAAGGGCCCCGCCATGGGGTAGAATTAAAAGGGTGCAGCTTATGGAATGATTCAAAATGTACGAAGAATAAGCAACAGCAACTGTATTCTTAAAATTTCAAGATAATTCCTGAACATTCAAAAACCTGAAAATAATATCCTTGTACTTACATTAGGCAGTAAAGAATGACTTAACATTGAATGTATATTTAAACAATTATGAAGCTTGTGTTATATAAAATCCAGCCTTCAATGAATGCAAATATCATGAAGGCTTGACCTTAACTTCAAACAAACAGCTAGCAGTTGCAGACAAATGTTTTCATTAATCTTAAAGACAGATAAAGAAAAGCCTACTAAATTTTCGCAGCAGGCTGCAGCATAATTAATCCCAAGGGATTAATTGTACCTCTCTCATCATTTTCTTTCAAAGTTACAATAAGAACTTTTTCAGTATTAATGATAGAATGGGGTTTTTATACAACTACCTTAAAAATTAATAATATTCTTGAATTAACATAAGTAACAAAAGTAAATCAAAAAATCTTCTTTAATCTATTTATTGTTTTTAGAATTCAATGAAGTTATAACTATTAAACAAAAATAAATTATGAAAATTTATATTCAAATCCACATTTCAGAGTGTTCATAGCATTCCAAATTGACTTAACTTCAAAACAAACTTCATTTGCAGACAGAGGTGGTAATTCATCTCAATGTGACAGATAAAGATAATGCTCTGGATTTTCTTCAAGAGGAAAGCTAATTAATCCCAAGGGACTCATATAGCAGCATTCAGTTTACAATGGGAACATCTTCAGCAGTTATCTCTCTTTGCCAATGCATTCTTATATAAAGTTAAGGAATGTACCCCACCACCCCAGCTCCAAACCAGGGGACATAGAGAACCAAACTTAGCATCAAAATATTATTTCTGCCTACTGAACTACCATACCAAATTTGAACTTGATTGGGCAACCATAAAAAAAGTTGCCCATTCATTCTTATGCATAGTTAAGGAATCTACCCCACCACCCCAGCTCCAAACCAGAAGACATAGAGAACCAAACTTAGCATCAAAATATGCATTTTTGCCTACTGAACTACCATACCAAATTTGAACTTGATTGGGCAACCATAAAAAAAGTTATTAGAAAAAAACAGAAAATTTGTGGACGGAAGAGTGACAGACGGACAGACAGACGGACAGACAGACAGACAGACGGACAGACAGAGTGATTACTATAGGGCACCCGCAAATCCTTGCGGGGCCCTAATTAGCTATCCTCCCATTTGAGATACAAATTCCAACATCCAATTTAACAAGAGGCCCACGGGCCTTATAGGTCACCTGAGTATCATGTATTGTCTCTTCAGACAATGCCTTTAGGACTGTCAAGGCCTTGCTGTTCCACAACTTTCCAGCGATTGTATTTGGTTCGTGTTTTAAACCAAAAGCCATGAAATTCACAAATTTTGAAAGAGGCACCATTGCTTATCAAAGTGCAGATTTCAAAGCATAAATTTTTTTTTAGTCAAAGTACCCCCCTGGTACCCCCGACCCAGCGGCCCTGAAATTATCTATTTTGAAAGAGGCCCCTTTCTTCATTATAAGCCCAGCATTTTTTTATGTTTAGGTTTAGTTATGAACATGATAATAAAAAAGTCCCGAAGGAGAAGAAAATTAAAAATAAAATTTTGATAAATCAATTATTAACATTTGTACATTCTTTTTTATGCTATCCTAATAGGCTCCTTACCACTGGACACATAATGCTTACAAATAGGAAAGTAGAACATTTAATTGCTTATTTCATCATCTGCCAGTTTGGGCCAGTTATATAAATTTTGTGATGTTGATCAAAATATATTTTAAAAATCAATTCTTTAAAAGTCTTTCAATATATCTTCATTTTTTTAATATGTGTTAGGTGAATGTGTAGACATTGTTCTAAAATTTACTTGATGCCTAAAAATTATAATTCCTATCATAAAACAGACAGAGAGTATTGGGGAGTAGGGTTAACATTTTTTCAATTAAGTGTAAAATAATTTTTCTGGCTGATACAAATGATACTACATGCCTGTATATATTTGTATATTCTTGCCTTTTAATAGTTGAATTATTTTATATTTCTTCAGGTTATTGTTTATTTCTTCCTCAAATGGACTTAACTTCTACCATAGTTTCATTCATTACATCTGATGCATAAGCAACCCTTTTCTGAAGAATGATGTTTAGACTGTAAGCTATAACAGAGACCTAAACAATGTCGCTGGCAATATGCAATAGCTACCACGGGCAGTTTAAAACCTGGGGGAGGAAAATAATTTACAGACAGATACTTTTGAAATGAATTTATAATTATCTCACCAGCATGTCATTGTGCAACAAAGTCGTCAGCATTTTATTTGTCCTTTGAATGGGTGAAACGTTTTGAATGGCACTCTTATCGATGAATTTTACACTAAACCAAGCTATCTTCTCAGATCTAGCTTTATTTACCCGCCGTTTCATCTTAAAACCAGAAGTGCGAGTTCGTATATTTGAAATCTCGATCCCGACTCAAATTTGACATCGGACAGAAAAAATTTTTTATTAATATTTTTTCATAACTAGAACTGTCCTATAGGGACAAATAACCCCGCTGGGTTTTTCAGAGTAGGTGCCAATTCAGAAATTTTTTATGGATCTAGTAAGAGGTGTTCACTATTGTCTAATAAAGTGTCCCGCCACAGCATGATACGCCCGTCAAATATTGTTCAATAATCATAAATTGGTTAGGGTGCAAGAAAATCAAGTAACCTTGATTAACAGATTGACACAGATTTCAATGATCTAATTTCCATTTCTTATCATGTTTAAAATATTGTACATATACATCTCTAAGAGACTTACAGTGTAGGGATTAATTAAAACAAATAATACATCATATAATTCCAAACTGGCTGTGTTAGAGCTTAACAAATATCCATCTGCAGCTTTAAATTGTTTATTGCATATTTTAGGCAATAATGGAAATGTTACAGTCTAATAAAAAATCAAAAAAAAAAATTATTCTTTAGACTATAAAATTCTAAGTGAGACATGACTGCAATTTGTTGCAAATATATAAAAATTGAAATGTAATTTTTTTTTTCAATGAACACATGTATAATTTATACAATACTAATTTAGTTTTAATCATACACTGAAACATCAATTTGTTTTAATTACATTACACCAATTGAAAGATCTTTATCTGGACTATAGCCATCAAGAACTCTTAATTAACACAAGCAACTATGAGGTCATTTCTTTTTGCCCTTGAACTCCCAAGAGATAAATTAAGATTACACTGCATGATCAGATCTAGAGATGCTCTTGCCAGATTGCTCCCGACAATGAACTCGTTAATTTCTCTCTAGTTTGACATGCACATTTCTGCTATCAAAATTCTCCTTGACCAGTGCTTGATAATTATGCCCATGGGACAAACTGAATTCCTCTCAAAACATTAACATTTGTTACAGAATTTGCTGTAAAGTATATGATGAAAAAATAAGTTTTTACTTAATTTAGCATTTTTTAATAAGGATACAACTATATTTTTATATTTTTTAGGATTATAAAATATAAAATTTTAAAGACTTTGTTTTTAAAAAAAAAATCACTTAAATTAAAGGTCACAGTGACCTTGAAATGGGTCGTGACACACCTTCTACCCTAGATGCATAAATTGTCCTTTTGATGATTGTAAGTCTATTAGTTTTCTAGTTATGAGCCAAACAAAATCACAAAATAAAAAAGAAAAAACACCTGTAAAATGCAGAAAAATCATCCAATCATGCTGAAAATACCAGGTGCACACCTTCATATGGTGAATAATAAGTGTATAAATTTTCAGACAAATCCATTCAACAGTTTCTGAGAAACGGTCTGGACAAAATCTTGTCTACAGACAGACGGACAGACGGACATGGTGATTCCAATATACCCCCCTAAACTTCATTTGCGGGGGTATAAAAATTAAAAACCTTGAGCGGAGGGTTTTTAAAACTGAAAATAAAATAAATCCTGGCCTTAAATATGTAATTAGATCATAAGCATATTAACCAGGAGCAAAGGATAAGATGTTCAAAGAATTCATGCATTTCACTATATAATCATTAGAGCCCCACCCTAAAACAAGAACCCCTGACCCTGGGGCCATAAAATTCACAATTTTGGTAGAGGCACTCTTGCTTATCATAACTATGTACTTACTTAGTTTATTTAATATCCAGGAGCAGAGAAGAAGATTTTCAAAGAATTCATGTATTTTCACTATATAATCAATAGAATCCCGCCCTAACACCATAACCCCTGACCCTGGGGCCATGAAATTCACAATTTTGGTAGAGCCAAACTTGCTCATAAAAAGCATAACTTAGTTGGTTTATTTAATACCTAGGAGCAGAGAAGAAGATTTTAAAAGAAATAATACATTTTCACTACCTACTTATTTAGCCCCGCCCTAGCACTAGAACCCCTGACCCCAGGGCCATGAATTTCACAATTTTGGTAGAGGACTCATTGCTGATTACAATCATGCTAACAGTTTGACTGCTTGATGTCCAGGAGTAAAGAAGAAGATTTTTAAAGATTGCATTAATTTTAGTGGTTTTGGCCCCACTCCTCAGGCCCCGGGGGGGGGGGGGGGGGGACAGGGACCATGAAATTCACAATTTTTGTTCCCCTTCACCCACAGATGCTGTATACAAAATTTGGTTGAATTTGGTTTAGCGGTTTCAGAGAAGAAGCTGAAAATGTTCAAATGTTAACACACGACGAACGACGGACGCCGACGGACAAACACGGATGGCAATAGGTCACCTGAGTGACTCAGGTGACCTAAAAATACTGAACATCCTCCCCAACGTACCATGTACATTTTTATATGTTCATTTTCGAATTAAATAAATAAGAAAAAAGTGAAGCATTCTGCCAATTTATCTATCATTTCATACAATCAACCTCTCAAAAAGATTTTAAAATTTCTTTGTGGACAAAGGGCATACTTTAAATACATGTCAGTCAATGAATGCATGTGTTGAACTTTTCTTAATATAATATTCAATATCATACCAAATTTTTGCACGCATTCATGTTCAAAATCAACAATATTACCGTGATAACCCTGTCCAACATGTTCCATTTCAATGGTTCCTTTTCCTCATCCTTCAAGAGTTTTAAGGAGTTTCAATATCCACATCCACAAAGGTTTTAAACCTTCTTTGTCAAAAACACCTATAAATAGAGTGAAATATTAAGGCATTTGAAATAGTGTGTACTATAATATTAATTTCCATTCTTTGATGTCAAGGAAGTTAAGAAGGTCAAGTGTAAGAAATTTATCAATGAATATTGTCTTCAGGACTGAATTTTGCATTTGTCTGAATTAAAAAGCCATAAAGTAACAGAAAGCACTAACAGCTAAAATATTCATTTGTGTTTTGAGAATTTTGAGATGTACATTAGATAAAGCAGTTTATTACATTTTAAACAGTGAAATACTGTAAGTTATTTATTAAATAAAAATGATATTCTTTTACAGTGTGAAAGGTTATCAAAATGATATCCTTTCACAGTGTAACAAATACCAGAAGTGCGAGAAAACTCTCGATTTTCCTTCCCATTACAAGGAATATTGTAAAAGATATTCCTTGGCTTGTGATAAGATGGAGAACAAGTTAATAAACCATTCTAACAGAGATAAAGACTGCGAACATTCCCCAAATATGTTAATTGCTGAAATTTATGTTTACAATGTTTTTCACTTTAAGCTGACGTATCGACCGCTCAACTATGACGTCATGTAGCGTATGACTACATTACAAACAAGAGGCCCACGGGCCTTGTAAGTCACCTGAGTATCATGTAACAACTTTCCAACAATTGAATTTGGTTCTGTTTTAAACCAGAGGCCATAAAATTCACAATTTTGAAAAAGTTATTTATAAACTTATTATAAACTTAGCATGCTTACTCTATTTACTTATTACCCAGAGGAAGATCAGAGTAAAAAAGAGAAAATGCACTTCCACTTTATAAACAGTTGTGCACCCCACCCCAAAGGAACCACTGACCCTGGAGCCATGATATTCACAATTGTGGAATAGGCACTCTTGCTCATCTTAACTATGTACTTACTTAGTTTATTTAATACCCAGGAGCAGAGAAGAAGATTATCAAAGATTTAATGCATTTCACTATATAATCAATAGAGCCCCTCCCTAGCACAAGAACCCCTGACCCTGGGAACATGAATTTCACAACTTTAGTAGAGGACTCAATGATCATCATAACTATGTACTTAGTTAGTTTATTTAATACCCAGGTGCAGAGAAGAAGATTTTCAAAGAAATAATGCATTTTCACTATATAATCTATATAGCCCCGCCCTGGCACTAGAACCCCTGACCCTGGGGCCATGAATTTCACAATTTTGGTAGAGGACTCAATACGCATTACATTCATGCTAACAGTTTGCCTGCTCGATGTCCAGGAGTAAAGGAGAAGATTTTTAAAGATTTCATTAATTTTAGTGGTTTTGGCCCCACCCCTCAGGCCCTAGGGAGGCAGGGACCATGAAATTCACAATTTTTGTTCCCCTTAATCAATAGATGCTGTATACCAAATTTGGTTGAAATTGGTTGAGTGGTTGCAGAGAAGAAGCTGAAAATGTTCAAATGTTAACAAACGACGGACGACAACGGACGAAAATGGATAGCATTAGGTCACCTGAGTGACTCAGGTGACCTAAAAAGATGTAGACAAAGGGAAAATCAACGAAAATGTAATAAACAGAAATTCAATGTTTTGTATTTGAATAATATGGAATTTATTTCACTCATGAGACAAAATATAATATTATACTTTCATGTAAATTAGTTGAATCTGATTGGCCGAGAAATATTTGTTAAAAAACACTATTACCCACTGAATAATGAAGCCCACGCCCTCCAGCGTAGCAACAGTTAACATTGCTTGACGACGGGTGGTATTCCAAAAAATAGCGACTGCACAGGACTTATGCATGCACGGTTCACTGTTATATATGTATCTGTATAAAACACTCAGTATAATATAATAAATATAGCATGTAGTTGAGTGTATCATTGAAAACTTTCACCCCTCGAAAACCATTGTCAACCTCCGCTGCATCTCGGTTGACAATGGTTTTCTTGGGGTGACAATTTTCAATGTTACACTCAACTACATGCAATATTTATATACTGTCTCACTCATGAAATAATTTCCATTTCCAACTACAAAACATTGAATATCCTAAATATATATGTGAACACTTAACTGTACTAAACAATGGGCCCATGGGCCACATCGCTCACCTGAGTAGCTTTGACCATTCTGCTCTTTAACAAATTCCCCCACTGTAATACATATTGTGACCCAACCCTACCACATGGGTCATAATTTGGAAAATTTAAAATCTACACTACACACGGATGCTTCCACATAAGTTTCAGCTTTTCTGGCCCAGTAGTTCTTGTGAAGAAGATTTTTAAAGTATTTTCCTATATCTTTCAATTTAAACTTGTGTCCCCTACTGTGGCCTCGCCCTACCCCAGGCGGTCATGATTTGAACAGTTTACATACAATACCTTAGGATGCTTCCACATAAATTTCAGTTTTTCAAGCCAGACAACATGTGATAAGAGAAACTCACTCGAGTTTTTTGCTCAGGTGAGCTAAAATCTTTATCTCTTCTGTCGCCCTTTCTTTCGGGGCTTTTTACTCTATCCTCCAGGGCAATGATAACAGATCTATATATGCTACATGTTTACATGTCAAGACAGCATTCATGTCTGGACTGTCCTTAGGAAGAAGGCATTGCATTTTCTTTTAACTTTTTTTTCTTATAACCTTTATTCCCTTGTTCAAGAATACTCAATTGTGTCAAGTTGGTTGAAAGTGGCCCAGTGGAGAATGTGAAAGTTTATATACAAAGATGACAACAAGGGCAACAATACTCACAACAAGTACACCAATATACAACAGACAAATTTTAATCAGAAACTCCCTTGAGACTCTGGCCCTAGAGACTTACACTTTTGACAAATCCTGCTTTCAGCCTTTGTGTGTATTTTGAAATTGCTCTGTACATGTTTTTATGTCTCAGTGGACAGTTTCTTGATGTTCTTGAACAGGTTTTCTTATTTGTTTGTGATCCTGACATCATCCTGTAGATGATAAGTTGTCCAAATCTCTGCACCACTACTGTCTTTCAATATATTAGGGGTATGATGGGCGACTGGCATACAGCATCAGAATACTGATATGAAATAGCATTCCCGTAGAGACCTGAAAGTTAAGGCTCAGTGTTAAAAGTTAATCAACAAGAAGGCAAAAGTTGTACAACATTGCATAAATGATAAAACCATTTAAGTAATATCTTATGACTTAATTATAGTCAAGATCTAGTAATTACTGTCATTTTGTTGCTAGCTAGATCTATCAAGATCAAATCAATGATATGATTCTGAATCATCTTTAATATAAACTTACTTTTCCCTCCTCTTTATGTAGAAAATGAAGAATTTTCATGGAAAAATTTGAAATCAATCATGTCAAAGTAACCATGATCATGATGATACTTTTATTCAGTTTAATATCATTTTAAAGCAGAGTGAAGAAGATAATGAAAAAAAAAGTTTTCTGAGAGATGGTTCAATGGCAATATCAATTTATTTCTTGGTCTGAGACAGAGAGGAAAACTCCAACACTTACAGTCAAACATCTGCATGATCTTCTTCATTTTTCATTGAACTGAATGCAGTTTAATATATAATTATATATTACGGAGTTTACCTAAAAATTAAGTCCCAATACACCTTTAACTACCAAGCTACACTATCGTTGTAAAGAATCATTAACAGATTAAATTTATACCTCAAATTTTAGAATTCTGTAGGAACTTTTCATTTACTAAATTTTGACCTTTATAAAATGTGTGAACTAGCATAAAAATATTTAAATTACTAGACAAACAACTAGCTTACATATAAATTTGCATAAGAAAAGTCACATGTAAGATGCCAAAAGTAAATTCATTTGGTGTAGATGTTATTTCATCATTATCAAAGATTAAATCTTTAAAATTTGTCTTTAAGCGAACTTGTCCCTTCAGTATATTGCTATAAAATAACTTTTAATACCCAATTTAAGCAAAGTTTACAAAACAAATTTTGCAAAATTAAATTGTATGTGTATTTGAACAGGATTTGAACATGTTAAATTAGTAATCAGTTGGCCATAATATTGTGCTATTCAGTGCTTTGCAAAAGATTATTTTTCCTCTCATTTATTAAATGTTCATGATGATAACTACAAGCACATACATTTATTTATCACAAAAATTATAAAACAGGTACACAGATTCAGATGGGGAGTTGGGGGTTTTGACACTAGCTCCCTCTAAAACACACACACACAAATTTTTTTTAGATATGATGCATATAGTTTTCATTGTTGTACACTCGACGTACACTGACAAAGTAAAATCAGAGTCAATTCTGTGTCAAAATAAGGTTATCTAATTGTTGAGGGATCTTTTTTGTGCCAGCACCTACTGTGACAAAGGACCTCAGTTTATACAGTCTCATCCGAAGGACCGGTCTCCAAGTCCCACAGTGGGATTCGAACATGTGATATAAGGATTGACTCCTTGCTTCGAGACTTTAGAGCAGACACTCTAACCACTGCGACATGCAGGGATTTGGGGCGAAAAAATGCAATGAAGCTGAATTCCCCTGGAAAAATAAACCTAGAAACTAAGATTATGCCTGAAGCAGAATTATGCCTACTTGAAAGTCCTTATTATCATATTATAATACTATGTGACTTAAAATGTTGTACAGCCAAGAAGAGCAATTGACAGTTGATTTACATATTGTAAATCATATTGATTTACAATTGATTTACAATATGTAAATGCTGACAGACGTTTTTCATTAGAATTGTTAGTCCATTATTTATACACTGAATATTGACGACAGATTTTTCCATTATTTCATGATCATGACAAGGAGCACAAGGCAGGTGTGACCAGTCGGCAGGGGATGCTCACTCCTCCGTGGCACCTGATCCCACCTCTGATGTTTCGGAGGTCTGCGTTTGCTCTGCTCCTATTTTGTATTGTTTTATGGACTTTGATATTGAATACTGTTCATTATCTCCATATCCTATGTTTTTAAGATAAGATAAATTAGCCTTTTGCATCGTGTCTGTAAGTGATATTTTATTTCGATAATGATCAATCATTTTAGTCATTAATATCTAAAAATATTACAAAAATATATGAGAATTTATTAAAGCAATTATATTTCTTTGCATAAGGGACACTGACACACCATCATGAGAGTGAAATAATTATGGATATAAGAATTTGACAGACTTTTTGAAATACTTTTATCACTCCAGGCATGATAAAGAATCAATCAAATTACTTACTAGTACCATTCATGTGCTCAGTACTTAGTACTTTACAGTTTAAGTGTCTGTATGTCATCTAAGATTGTGATCAAGGAAATTTAAATGATCTTAAGGGTCGATAACAATTAATTTCTATTTGTACAATCAATTAACCAGGTATATCAGATATTAATTATCACACTGAATCAGTCTTTAAAATTCATACAGTTAACATCATGTAGAAACATGGGCATAGTCTGGAATAAGCTTAATTAAGTCATTCACTTAAATGTTACAAAATGTTTTCATTTATTCATCTAATCTATTTTTATCAATTACTCCTTGGTGCAAGAGTTGAAGAGATCGGGAGAGAGAGACCTGTAAAAAGGTTAGTTCAGTAGTTGTTTATAACAGTGGCAGATCTAAAGGGGGAGAGGGGTTACGGGGGCTGCACTGAAATCCAGTCAAAGTATCCCCTAATTAAACCATCCCCATCAAAGCGTCCCGATTTTGGGGCACTTTGACCAAAACCAAGGGACGCTTTGACCATTTCTTGGGGACAGTAAAGATTGTTTATAATAAGATATTTGTTTCTGTAAAAATATGTAGGGGGCGCTTTGACTAAAATCAGGGCATACTTTGACCAATATCAGGGGGGTGCTTTGACTAAAATCAGGGGATGCTTTGACCAACATTTGGTGGCGGTATTTTTTCTCAAAAAATATGTTAGGGGGCCCTTTGACTAAAATTAGGGGACGCTTTGACTAAAATTAGTGGACACTTTGACTGGGACATTTTTATTAGGGGGCGCTTTGACTGGCTCCCGCTGCACTCCCTCACCCCTTTTGATTTGCAAAATAAGAGAGAGAAAGACCCAAATTTCTACAGTGTATTGTTGTCGTATTATAGAAAAATGTCATTGAAAGGCTAATGTTGTAGTATATAAGGAAATTTGGTTGTGATAACAAAATGAAACCCTACTTCTTCACATAATAGGATTTACAGGTTCAGAGATTTATTTTTCACTTTTTCAAAAAATTTCAGGTAATCTAGCTATAGGTACAAGTATTTGTTTCACAGGTTGATCAACCTACCATTTTTAAAAACCATACTCCACCCTGTATCCTACTGAGTTATTTAATTAACTACATGTACATGTTTATGTAAAACGTAAGTTATAAAACTCTTTTCCTCTTTACCCCCCCCCTCCCCCTTGAAAAATTTCTAGATCCGCGCCTAAATAATTATCACCAGCTGATCACTTGAGGGTTGTTTACATTTGTCATTTACCATTTCTAATCTTTTGAATGTCACATTCATTCTATATTCATTTAATTAAGCACTTCTTCACACGTTTATTACATGCATATTGCATGTAAGTAACTGAGAAATTGTGTATCTGTTATGTAAGAAGTAAAACAGACTATAACATTTTCTGCACATTGAATCATTTTCACCTCTTTTAATACTGGGGTAAAATATTTCACAACACCAAGAACAACATAAATAAATTAGTATAATAATTTAAAAACATTGACAAGCCCTATATATTTTTATAGCACCAAAAGATTTTTTATTTTTCCAACCACGTGGAGGCATGTAAACAAAGGACGATAACTCTAAATGTACATGATTTAATGTTTCTCGTTTCACGTGTTTGAGGTGATAGAATTCGAGAAATAAAGACTAATTGAATCAAATTTTATGTGCAAAAAATGTTCAAGTGAATGAAGGCAAATAAAATGAGCTTTACTTACATTAAATGCATAAATCCCAAAACACACATCTACTTCCTGTCTAAATCTTACAGGAACTGGTGCAGATCTCGCACGGTCTCGAGGCTGGTCTCGTTAGAGGTCAAATCGACCACTCGGATGTTACGCTACACTTAACAGCGATAAAGAATATCATCCGAACACATTAGTAGGGGTGTTTGATCTATTCATAGAAAATTTATTTGTAAAAAAAGTATTTTCAAGAGAAGGGAAAAAATTTCAAAACCTTCACAAAGATACTCAATTAAAGAAAAAAACATAAAATCTTCGTTTAGTAGTGAGATATGAAATTTTACAGATGTCTTTTCCTTTTTATAATAAAACATTGCTATTATATGACATGCATTTTATATTTTCTTAATTAACATTAACTCCCTGACTTTCTTTAATATTAATTTAAAGAATTAAACAGTTAGGTAAGATGTGTTTTCTTCAATTCTAATTTACTTTATTCAAATTAGTTTGAAAAATCTTAATAAACTCATAGCGCGCGGTGAGGCCGTGGGTGTCCCCTTTTGAGGAAAGACGTTAACTTTGTTATAGTTTTTATATTATGTAAAATGTTTAATTGTGTGGAGGCCGCCCAATTTCTTTCTTTGTGCAAACATACCCGAATCCAAGCATTTGCAAGAAGAAACAAAAATTAAGAGAGAGACGGGAGATTTAAATTTAAAAAAAGACTCTTCCTGTTACATTGTGTATGATATCATTTAGAATCAATGAATTCTATGCGAAGGATAAAAAATACTCTTTTATATCTAGAAGTATTGAACATGTTGAAGATGCATCCAAACAAGGGGTTAGAAAAAAAAGATTTACCTATCTTCAAAGAATTACACAAACAAAAATAAAACCTTCTTTGAACTAAGCCATAGTTTTTTCTCTTGATTTTATTCTGTTTATTAAATGGTTTATAGTAAATTTTTGAGGTTATCAATGTCGTAAAAATATCTTTCGGTGAAACAGGTTCAATATTACTTATGTATCATTCAATAATAATTTATATGATTGTGTAATCAAATACAAAGAGTTCAATTTTTACAATGTCGGTAAACTCAGTTAGATGTAAATAAACTATTATTTGTAGAATAGATATTTTAATGAGTTAAGGACGAATATCATTTCAGATCCCTAGTTACAACCAGATAATTACCATTCCAGGCAATGGCTTTAAAAGATTGCCAAATTTACAGACAATATAAGATTTTTATATTTTTTTTCATATGTCAGATTGAAAAGAAAAATTATTTGTGAGCAAATTCGCAAATTTACTGTAGCAGGGAAATTTACTTATAACATTAAAAAACATTGCGGAAATTCAGTTGATTTAGTAAAGGGCAAAAGGTGTTGTCTCTGCATGCGAAGCGTATACTGAACACAAGGAAAGCCAGAAAATAATGAGTTGGTTAGTCGACGCTACAGATTGCATGATGAAGTGCCCTGAATGTTTACTGCCAACAGTGAAAAAATACTTCCTGCTTAATGTTTCTTCAGACTTAAATAAAATATTAGGTACAATGTTTTGGGTTTTTTATTTATATATTTGAGGAGTGACAAGGGAAGTGCTGTTGTAAGTCTTTCAGTAACATGTTCAAACTCAAACAAAGATAAAAGTATTTTACTTACGTTACTCCTCAACTTGTTTTTCTGAACTTAATGCATGGATTAAGCACACGTACTTATGAAACAAGTATAAACTATAGGGTTTACAACAGATGTTTTATTTGAACATTTTAAACTTGGAATATATATTCATATCTAACAAGTAAAATTGATGAATAACCAATTTCAACAGTAAATTTTCCTTAGAAAATAGTGTCCACAGCCGTCGCCCACTTTGATTTTTTGAAACGTTGTGAAAAAAAAAATCATATATCTCAAAATCTTTATGGGCATTTCCTGTGGACAATACCGCTTAAGTGGAAATTTAAGCGAGACGCAAATTTAGTGTTTTGTCATTAAAATGGTTAGAAATTATTCTAGCGATTCTAAAATGCTCACTTAAGAAGTCATAGCAAATAAAAAGCAGTTAATTTTTAGCAATATTTGATTTAAGCGATCCCCACATGCTCGCTAATAGTGCCAAAATTAAATCCTTAGTAAAAACTTCTGCTTATACGGTATTTTCTAAAAGAAAATTCAATTGAAAATTGGTGTCTTCTGCAACTTTTGAAGAAAATACAGGAAAATGCCCATGTTTCTGACGTCACAATTACCATTTTAAAACATATCGGAGAAAAATGATTTGTACGATATTTTCTTCATGGAATTTCCATGATTCAGAATGCATTAGTTTTCATCTTTCACACCAGTTTCATTTTTCATAAAATCACAGGGCAATATATGTATAGAAACCATACCTTGTTCTTGATTAATTGTTATGATTAATTCAATGCTTGTTAAATTTATAATGCCGTCACTAATTACATTTGTAATTCATGTTATAATTATTACTAACATGTTTACAACCGACTACAATTGGTTGTATTCTAACTTCATCTAAAAGAAATGTCTGGACTCTTCTGCATTTAAGAAGGCTTTATGTATTCCTTTTTGCCATTAAAAATGCTTGGAAAATAACTGAAGAAATGGATTGATTGATTTAATTTTTTTAGGGATCTTTTTGGTAAGAGAAAAATAATGTCTGGAACCTTCTTTATTTTTGACGGCTGTATCCATATCTTTTATGTGATAAGATTAATTGAATAACAACTGAATGCAATACATTTTCTCCATGTTTTGTAGGGATCTTTCCTCGAACAGAATTACCGTAATACAGGACAATGTCTTCAATGGTTTACAAAACCTTTCTGAACTGTAAGTATATCTTAGTTTTGCTAAGTTTGACATTCTGTATATGTACTAATTTTAATTACTAGGTAGAGACATGGACATATAGGAATGTACCTTACGATTACGTTTGAAAAAAAATGTCTTTTTCCCATACATATTCAGAACCTGTCCCCAGGATCATGAAACAGGCTTAAACTTAAGTGACATTTTCAATTACCTGTAAAATATTTATTAAATACTTAAATTATCTCAAAATTTGTAAATAATAACACTATAGTAAATAATTATTTAAAAAAAAAAATTAAGTTTGTTCTGATGCGATGTGCATCCCCACCACGGCATCACGTGACTTCTATTAATAGCGAAATTTTCTTTAATAAAAAAGGTAAGAGAACAACAATATCCCGGAGGTAAATAATTTCTTTGAGTAAATAATATAGTTGAAAAACATCTATTATGCCTAAAAAATGCTTCTAGAAACCCACTGTCCCGTCAGTAAAATAATTATTCTACACACTCGCACGAAACCTTACCCGATGTTTTGAATTTTTTTACATATGAACGGACTTTTTTCGTAAAACCATGCTGAACTTGGGATATTAGCAGCGCTTTCTAAGGATTTTTGGAGGCAAACTTTCCATCTGTACATATCTTCTGTTTTGAAATATACAGCTCATTGTTCTTTTGTTGCATTATTTTTGTCACAAATGACAGAGGAAAGGCCGACGTTGATACGTTTATAGCTGACAGTATTCGAAAGAGAATATAATCGATGAAAATAAATTAGCATACCTGTTTTATTAACTGAAATCCATATGAATTTCACAAAATATTCACGATATTTGCTTTTAAACTTCATTTTACGTATCTTTGTACATGCCGTCTTAGCCAAATTCTCTTTACACGACATGATCAATTCCCAAGTTACTTGATGTACATATATGACGTCATCAGTGGTGGATTTTAATCAAAATGAAAGAATACAACATAACAAAGTAAGAACGTTTTATTTATGTTAATGTTTACACGTTTCTAATCAGTTTTTTTAGAGTTAAATTACATCTCTAGATAACGATATTACGAAAACTTGTGTTCTAAAATTAAAGTCATCTCGCCTACTATGACGTCATAATGTAGCACTCATTTAGTCAAAGTAGAATCATAAAACACGGCTTCTCCAAAATTTTTAATAGTAAAATTATGTAACAAGGAGAAGTAAGTACCTCTTATCGATTTCTCAAACCCACCTGAAACCCAGCAAATCTATCGACATTTTTTTCATAGGAAATACAGAGAGGCAGGGGATTTTAAAAGACGTATATACTTTTCTTGAAACAATGATCACTATTTTTACTTTAGGTGTTTACTGTAATGTATGGGGATAATAATGTCATTTTATGTTTAAAAACAAAATATTATATAATATATAAACATTAACGCTTCTCACAAAAGTTTATTACCAAGCGAAAAACCAAATTCTAACATAAGTCATGAGAAGAAAGGATATGGAAAATCTCTTCAGTTGTGATGGTTGTCCAAAAGAAATCAATAAACTTGGACTGGGAATGCTTTCGAGACGCTGCACCATGGAAGGATATGGAGATAACGAACATGGAAGAGTGAAAGTGCACGCAAGGGCATTAGCATTTATACAAATTCTTATACAACAAATGAGAATTGAAACACATGATAATTTTTTTTCAAAGTTAGATTATCTTAATAAATTTATTATATGAAATGTTATAAAACAGAATATAATCTAAATACATGAGAGCTCTGCTTGGGTTTCAGCAAAAAAGAATGAACCAAGATAATAAAACTAAACGTACTACACGTAATAATTATCTCATTGTGATGCATGAATTCTAAAAACGTTTTTCTTTTCTTTACCTGTTTTAAAACGTAAACAATTTAACTTTTTAAGCAATGATACATTTAATGTGTATAACAGTGTGCCTCCTTCCTCCATGAAAACAATGAATTCTACAATAAAAATAGATTTCAAACGATTTTTAGTAACAGGTAGCGCTTTTACAGAGTGGAGTAAAATTAATTTATTTCTGTTGTCATCTACTTAGTCCACTGTGGGACAGGGCATAAAACACGGACCCCATGAAATTCCAGAGATTGGACAAATTTCGTAAAAGGAGAAAACATATTTAATAAACCGGTAAAACCCGCCTTTGTCCAAAGAATGGATCCAGTAGATAGACACACTGTAGTCAAATTTTGTATAAAATGGTTAACATTTGGAATGAAAAAAAGTCAACTAAAAAACGATCCAATGATAGGTTATTTTTGTCCTAGAAGTTCATTATAACTACTAAAGAATTTACCAAATGCTGACTTTTCACGAAATTGTCTAAATTTCTCTAACATCAAGAATCTGGTCGTTACCTATATCGGATAAAAGACTGATTGTTCCCAGAGAATTGAAAAACGTTAACCTAATATGTATATATGTAGGAAATATCGAGCGTTCACGAAAGAAAAACTAATATCATAAATTTAATAATAAGTTCGACTTAGAATTCAAAGAAATATACAAATGAAACAGTTTTTATCTTATCTTTTTTAAAAATGTTCTTCAAAGTCCAAGAGTGGCCAACGTGATAGTGGATGAGATAGGGTTATTTATTGTGCTGGGACACTGGCAACAGACGTAACTTATTTTTCTTTTAATAAAAAAATATCTTTACCTAATAATAAACCAAAGTCCCCATCGGACAGTCATCTTGGATTTTCGACGTCTGTCAAATCTATTTGTATTTTCGTCTGAAACTCTGTAAAATGAATTCCCTGCAACCATATTCTTTCTGTGACCAGACCTTTTGAAGTCTAAACTTATATGGACAGTGCAACCAGAAGGGCGCATCACACAATATCAAAAATCCCTAAACAAACTCGATCTACTGCTTCAACAATCTGAGAAATGGCTAAAGGGGGGCCAGAAGTTTACATCAATATGCTAATGGAAATTCCGTATTTATTAGTTTTGTGATGGATCTAAAGCGGCGTGTTGAAATTACTTTAAAATTTAGATAAATATTTGGATTATTTCAAGGTAAAAAATTAGAATACGGAAAAAATAAAACACTTCTGGTAAATATACCTGTAAAATATACTGCTTTAATCTATACAGATCGTTGCATTCAACGACCTTGAATAAGAAGGGGGGGGGGTGTTTCAAACAAAAAGCAACACTTTATGTAGAGTTTATTGAACATTAGAGATCACACTAATGATATGCTATATGTAATGAACTCAAATATTAGCTTTATAATATGTAACATGCATAATGTATAATCTGTATCCAAGAAAAAGAAAATAGATAAATAATGTAGCCATGCCACTACTTTATTGCAATACATAAAATCGCAGATCTCAACACTCCCTGGAATAAATTGCTAGTGGCACCCCACCCAAACCCCTTCTAAAACAAGGACGTGCATACTTTTAAAACTGGTTTTTAATAAACAGAGTAAATCTTCTCCATTGATAGCGCTCAAACAACGCATCAATAATGACAGTTTTAATAATAATAGTGATAATAATGTAGCGACTTACGACCGACTCAATATTTTGTCTCGAAAATGTTCATTACTAGGACATCAGCATTCACTAACCGGGCCAATCTTCGACATCTACAAAAAAATAGCTTCGATCTAGCTATATCGAAATTATTTTGGAGGAAAATAAAATGAATTTTCTTATATTACCTTTTTTTATTGTCTGAAAGATTTTTTTTTTGGACCAGTACTAACTTTCACTGGTTATTTTTAAAAATAAATCTTACAAATATATTGCAATTGACCAATCAAAAAGATCTTTCCTTAAGAATTTCAAGACAAATGAAACTCCCCCCCCCCCTCCCCTTTAGCAATTTCTCGGATTGTTGAAGCAATAGACCGAGTTTAACTAGGGATTTTTAAAATTTGCAAGTAAGATACACCCTTTTGGTTGCACTGTCCGTAAGTTTAGATTTCAAAAGACTGGTCAGAAAAAGAATATGATTGCAGGGAAATTATTTCACGGAGTTTCAGTTACAAGTGGATGTGACAGACGTCAAAAATCCAAGATGGGACACTATTATTTTGTTACTTTGCACGGCGATAGTAACAACTGAGGGGAAAGTGTATCTTCTCCATGAAAAATGCTACATGTACATACTACAAAAGTAATTATGTCGTAGAACTCTGATCATTTTATTTATATTGCTTCTGGGCGACATTGCTTCATCTATTAGTTCATTTTGTTTATAGTATATCTATGGAACTTTCACATCCTTGAATAATTTAATTTTGTTTGTATTCTCGCCTCTCATTGGTTGATTTCCAAAAAGGAACGCAAAACATTTTGTATAATCTGGTTTGGCATGGGGACACACCCCCTTGACGACCAGCTTAATCATTATATCCATGCAATCCCCTCTTTCCAGTCCTCGGAATCCATGGAAAATTTCAGATTTAATAAATGTACCTTCAACTTTAAACAATTACTCGTTCTTACCTCATGTAAACAAACATCATGGCTGCTAGATCTATGTATCAGTTATTACCTCCCCTCGCTTCAAATCACTTCCGTTACTACGGTTGTATTATTGCGCGGTAAATTTGAACTGATAAAAAGCAACACAATTTTACATCAAAAGTTGTTTAATTATTTTAAAATTAAATTATAAGGAATGACTTTAATTCTTGGCCATATTATCGAGTATAATCTGGTTTGGGTCAGTTTACGCTTTTTTATAATTCACTTCGCGGATTATAAAGCGTAAACTGACCCAAACCAGATTATACTCGATAATATGGCCAAGAATTAGAGTCATTTCTTAAATGGTACTCAGGTGACCAATTAAACCCGTTTGCCTCTTTTTTTATGTATACGGAGATTGCAGTTTTTAATCAGTCTTATTATAAGGAAATGAAGTACTGTTCGTGTACATAAATTGGAGTTTTCCGTATTTAGTGTAATCACTGGTCATGGGTATTGAGTTATTGATGTATTAATTGATTAACGTTACA